CTGCTCCTGGCTGTGGGAGTTTTGGGAGCCTCTGGCTATAAGGGTCCTGATTAGAAGAGCTTGATGTGGCCTGGCCCACAGATAATGTAGGTCACCTGGCTGTTTGTCACTCCCAATTCTCAGCTTTCTTGGTGGAAGAGCAGGTTTTTCATCTTTCCCATTGGAAAGCCAGTCCTGTGTGCTTAACATTCTTGGTTTCTCTGAAGATCTGTGGGCACAAGGATCTTGGTTTTGTGTTCCCAACGCAGGAAAGATCATGGCAGGGTTCAAAGAGGAAGACTACACTAAATATGATCCCTCTTAATGAGGTTGGTAACCGTGGTAGATTCAAAAAGCACTCAGCCACCCTTAAGGATTTTTTTTTTTGTCTTTTCAGAATTATGTTCTAAGGAGGCTTCGGCGGGGGGGGGGGGGGGGGGGCTTTTGTTTTGCCTGACACTATTTTATTTTATTTTTACACTCTGTGACCTTTATTTATGGCTAGAAACCAATTATGAGTGAGTACATCCCATGTTCATCTTTTTGGGTCTGGGTTACCTCGCTCAGGATAGTGTTTTCTATTTCTATCCATTTGCATGCAAAATTCGAGAAGTCATTGTTTTTTACTGCAGCATAGTACTCTAATGTGTATATATTCCACACTTTCTTCATCCCTGACACTATTTTAAATGCAGAGTTTGATCGCTCTCACATTTGGAGAGCATCTGCTGAGCTCTCCTTTGTAATGCTGAGCAGATTAAGTAAGCGGGGGTTTCCGCTTTATCAGTGATCCGTTGATACTAACGGTAATAAGGTAAGGCTTCTCCAGACTTCTCTGAATTGCAATGCATAAGCTTCTTCATCTTCCCTCAAGCTTAGGTCAGGCAGATATGGTGGCACATAGCTGCAGTCTCAGCCTTTGGGGGACAGAGGCAGAGGACTGTGACAAACTCGAGGCCAGTCTGGTTTAGCTTATGTAGTGACTTTAATGCCAGCTAGGGCTAGATAGGTCTTGTCTGAAAACAAAGCAAGATACAACAAAGCAAAAAACTAAAGAAAACCAGCTTATTGTCTGCTAGCTGATTGTGAAATACTTTGAAATGTTTTACCAGATAGCACAATGGTCAGTACTCTTGCTGCAGGTGAAACCTGAATGAACCCAACCAAGACAAAGTCACAAATCCTCACAGACACTTGGAAATCTAGAAAGTTTGAAGAATGAACATTTTCAAAACCACATTACTCATTCAGAACCTGGATTGTGACCACCCTTGGATATGAATATAGATTCAAAAGATAGGATGTTGGCGGTGTAGCTCAGTGGTAGAGTGCCTGCCAGCCTAGCGTGTGTCCTAATGCTACAGAAAAAACCTTGGAAGGTAGAGACTAAGAGAGGAGAGAGCGTTGTTTCAGGATAACGTTTTTTAGGGCACAGATTCGGAAATGAACACCAGAAGCAATTGTTTTCAGTTCTCAAACTAATGCAGTTGGACAAACCCACAGAGGTCTACAAGAAGCGCTGAATCAGATAAGCTTCAGAAACTAGAAAATACCAGGGTTTAGAAAAGTGATAGCATATCTATACCCTGTATTATGTGGCACTTCCACCAGGCTCCGGCAATACAGGGATGTAAGCAAAAACCACATATGTGCAGCATGGATGGGGACAGTGCAGTCAGGGATGTAAACAAACTCTACAGATATGCAGCATGAGTAGGGAAATGCAGTTAGGGATGTAAGCAGACTCCCCGTGTGCACCGCACGAGTGGGTCAATGCAGTCAGGGATGTAAGCAGACTCCATGTATGTGCACAGCATGAGTGGGTCAATGCAGTCAGGGATGTAAGTAGACTTCATGTATGTGCACAGCATGAGTGGGTCAATGCAGTCAGGGATGTAAGCAGACTCCATGTATGTGCACGACACGAGTGGGTCAAGGCAGTCAGGGATGTAAGCAGACTTCATGTCCGTGCACAGCACGAGTGGGTCAATGCAGTCAGGAAAACTTGCATGTCAGTTCAGGTTAGCTTATGATAACAAGTGAACCATGGATACACCATTGGGTTTTCAGGGTTAGGGAACTTGGGGTTGTAATTAAGAATTAATTTATATAGACTGGCCCAGTGGAATCTATCTGGGTCAATTTTGGAGGCTCCAGTGAGTCTAAGTCAAAAAATGCTGGGGAACACTATGGTGGAGGTCGGCTAAAGGGAAAGATTCATGAATGATATACTTGATGTGAAGGGATCTAACAAGGTTGTGACAATGTGTTCAAGACTAAAAAAGATGGAAATTTCCAGAATTATTAAGACGTCCTTATGGTTTCAGAAGTGATGATGTGAGGAGGATGTGAGGAGAAGAGCTGGGCAGAGTGGTGGAGATGCCCAGGTGCCTGAGAGTTGGGACTGAGTCACCCTCAGAGGGATTGGTGCTGTAGGATGCTGTAGTTTTAGTGTTAGGTGTGACACAAAGAGGCGACTATGGCAAGGCCTGGAGACTCCCAGCAGGAACAGGAAGATGTCCTTGCTGCAAACTTTGGCTACTGACAGACAAGGGGGCAGAGACCTGGCACGAGGCATCCACGGAGAAGAGATGCAGCTGCGAGGATGTTGTTCAGGAGCCAGATACGGCACTGATGTGTCTGCTCACATGTGCACGTGTGCTGGGCTGCCTCCGTGTGTTGGGAGGACTGCTGTCCCCTGGCATAGTCAAGCCTTGGCTAGAATCAAAAGCACGTTTGAATTGTGGGCATCTGAATCCAGTTACTCTCAGGGTTGTTTTCTGAGACTAGAAATTTACTTTCATTTTGCTATACAAATGATAACCAACTATATTGTAAAATTATCTTATATTTCAACAAGTGTACGGGTATCAGTGTCACAGTCTCAGCTTCACTTCTCCAACTGATGAAAAGTCAATTATATGTATTCATATATTTGCAATTACCACACATAATATTGTATCTCAAATTTAATTCTTACATGTTTGTGTTTTTAAATTTTTTATTACTGTGTGGGGGAAGCTACACCCCTGCATATATGGTACGACAGGTCTGTGGAGATTAGATAACAATTTGGTCGAGTCCGTTCTTTCACCATGTGTGTCCTGGGATTGATGCAGGGCCCCAGGCTAGGTCGTGGGTACCTTTATCTACTGAGCCACCTCTCTGTTTCTATGTATTGTAAATTTGGAATTGACTCTTCATCATCTATATTCTCACTTTCCCTGTCCCTCTCTCAAGCTTGGCTTCCCAACAGTATCCATGCTTCTAGGAAGAGCCTACATGTCAGCACACATCCTACATGAGCCTACGGAGCAGCACACAGCCCGCATGAGCCTACAGGGCAGCACACAGCCCATATGTGCTCTTTCCTTTCAGGGGTCTACAGCAGGACAGCCAATGACTGGGAGAAGATAATGAAGTCTGTTTCAAACATTAGTTGCTTTTGTTGACATTGAAAATTTAAACCATTTTTTTCATACAGTGTATTTATTGATCTTTCAAAAGTTAATATTAATTTTGAGATAGAATATTAGGTGTGTGGTTACTGCATAAAAATATTTGTTCTGCATACACTGATTAATTACTTCCTAGATGCTGGGAGCTGCAGCAGGTGGTGAAGGACTACGGTGCCCGCTCTGAGTGTATAGGCTCCCGGAGGAGGGATATCCATCCACTCAGTGTTTTATGCAGTCACATGGCCTGGTCAAAGGCCGTAGTAAGGTCTTTGTAGGCAGGACAGCATCAGTGCTGGTGAGGCCACTGCCGGCACGGGTCTGCTCCATCTCTCTTGAGGCCAGGATGATACGGCTCATAATGGAAGACGAAAAGATCAGGCCGCAGGGAGAGAAGAGTATTCTATTCAGAATGGGTAACATGCAGACTGCACAGAGGCAAGGTGGATCAGCCTGTTACAATACAGTAAAGGAGGAGGCATGCTGACGCCTGGGGCTCAGGGAAGGGAAAATGGGGGAAAGAAACAACAGATGGCTGCTGGGAAGCAGCTCCTACACACACCGACCCCTTAGCACTTGAACCACCTGTAGATGCTCCGGAGAGGTTTTTAAACGATTTTACGGTTTGGGTGCCATGGCAGCGGTAGTATATGGTGGCCAGAAGACCTCTCATTGGCTACTTCAAGTGGTTTTGTTATTATTCTTATTAGCAAGCATTCTTGCACCCCATGTCTGCCTGATTAATGCCCCCTTTGAGCAAGTACTGCATTTGTGATTTCAGTTCTGCTTCTCCCCTGCTTTGTTTGATGTCTCAGGGACACATCCCTGAAGTGTTTGTGCTGTTTAACTTGGGTATCCGTTCTTAAGAAGAGTGATCCATTTGTCGCTTTCTGGGATGCTGCTGCAACTATGCTTTAGTGCCTCAGTTGTAAGCTTTTGTCTGTTATGTTTTATGGATAATGTTTGTTAAAGATGGAAAGATCTTAGCCGTCATCTAGGCCAAATCATACTCTTTACATGGAAGGCTTTATGACCCCAAATGTAGAAGCTTGGTGCCATGTAGCTATATAATTCTGGGGCTGGAACATAGACTGCCTATAAATATGAGACTCATGTTTTTTGAGATGAGAAAGGCATGAAGCATCCACCATATTGGTAAGGGAAGAGGTAGCCTAGCTCCTGCTGCTTCTATCTAGTGGGCCTCCCTACTCACCTGGCTATAAGTGTTCTCTTGGAGCACCACCTGGGGAATTCTTTTGTTATAATATACTCTGTGATCTATTCTCCCTGACCTAGTAGGCATTGAGAATAAGCTACTCAACTGTTAAGAACGTTAGCTTCCAAGTTAATGACTGACTCTTATTTGGGCCTTCATTACTATCTAAAGAGAATCTCGTGAGGGTTGGAATACTACCCCAGCCCACAGTCCCCAATCAAATGGACTTAGGCTGTCCTAGTGACAGGACTCAAGAAGAAAAGTGGGGGTGAAAGGAGTGTTAGGGTCAGGGGATCCCTCTCCAGGGCCTGCCCAACTCTGTCTCTGAGCCAATCTTGCAATGTTCACAGACACTGGCTCCATCCGAAGCGTGCAGACAGGCGTGGGAGAGCTACATGGGGAGACCAGGTTTTGGCACGGGAAGGATTACTGCAACTTTGTCTTCAAGGACTGGGTTCAGCTGGACAAGCCTTTTGCTGGTGAGTATCAGGAGGAGGGCGGCTGCAGGTTCCATTCTGTTTTTCCATTTTGGGGCATCTCAGTAAGTATGCATGCACGTGATCTAAGTGCCTTCTGTCTGTCTATTTAAAATTTTGTATTTACATTTACTAATGATATGTAATGATTAATTTCATTATGACACTTTTGTAATATATATATGCATGCATACAAACATATATTATTTTGGTTCTACCCACCCCCCTCTATTACCCTCTCTTCCCCCTCCCACTGATCCCCCTTTTCTTCCCAATGAGAAACCCTTTTACTTTTGATGGTTCAGCGAGTTTAATTGGGTTACTTACAAGAGCGTGGGTCAGGAATTACTTATAGAAGCATAGGTGACTTACACCACCGAAGAGAATGCCATTCCCTCCCCTGGCCACCATTAACTACCTCCAGATCCTCAGTGAGGAGCCAGAGCCTCAAGGCTGTGTTGAATTCTGGAGGTCTGATTTGGTCATACCTGTGTGAGTATTATCAGTGTAGCCGTGAGAAGAAAACTTGACACTTAAAGCTTCCCAATCTCCTGCAGCTGTGTTTCAGGGGGAAACTGAACTTCTCCCGCAGAGGGTAGCCCTCGTTTGGTTCTTTTGTATTGATTCTCTCTGTCTTCCTTCTTTAGAGGGATGTGTCTTAGATAATGACTGTGCTTCTATACCTAAGAGGTGCCCAGCCTGGTGTTTGTGTATACAGATAGCCTACGGTTATTCCCACAGATCAAAAGGGAAATCCCATCACACCTTGCCTTGTCTGCAGATCAGTACTAAGCATATATAGACTCAGTGGAGTGGATGGTTGAATTTCCTGCAGATCTCTTTCCTTTGGCCACGACTGTGTTGTACCCTAGTTGAGGTCAGTATTTCTGTTCTCTGGCACTGAACTTAGTGATGGGTCCTTGCCTGGCACCCCGGGCAGATTTCATCGACAGGTACTCCACCCCCCGGATGCCTTGGCACGATATTGGTTCTGTGGTCCATGGGAAGGCAGCTCGCGATGTAGCTCGTCACTTCATCCAGCGCTGGAACTTCACCAAGGTACCGATGCTGTTGTGACTTGGCCACGTTGGTCCCTGGCCAACGTGAAGCTCAGAGGGTTGGCAGGAAAGGGCTACCGTGGCCACATCTGTGACACCCTCTATTGGTAGGGTTATCATTGTCATAGCGCAGGGCTTCAGAGCACTACAAGAAAGGAAACTGTCTTTGGAGTACCATGACAGACAACTCTGAATGTGGAGAGATAGATGCGGTAATCACGGCCTGTGGATTTAAACAGAAGTGTTAAGTATTTGCAGAGACAGACCAGCATGCATGTAAGTCACTATTATAGGATCTGCGGGGTGTATTTAGATAAGGGCTCAGCTGTAAAGTCCCTTCTGATCCTGGACTGTTCTGGCCATGTGCTGGCATAGGACCGTGGAACTGGCTTTGGACAGGGAATGCCAATGAATTGGAGCCATTTCTTTTCTCCAGATAGAACTCACTTATAAGCTACCATTGCTATAAGAGTAAGACCCTAACATGCAGAAATTCAGTCAAGCCAATGGTACTGTTAAGGGCTCACTGCATCTACTTAAAATAATTAGTCTGTCTTTCCTGATAACGTGGAAGAGGGGCCTAGCTGAGTACTTCCATGGATAACAGGATATCAGTTTACTAACCGTTCATATAAAAGCTGCAATTTTTTATTTTAAATTCAAGTTTGGAGGGGATGCATGAGTAAGCAAGGCAATATTACTTTATTACTTTTCTTTTTCTTTGGTTTTTCAAGGCAAGCGTTTCTCTGTGTAGCCCTGACTGTCCTGGAACTAGCTCTGTAGATCAGGCTGGTCTTGAACTAACAGCAATTCTCCTGCCTCTGCCTCCCAAGTGCGGGGACTAAAGGCACGCACCACCACTGACCTGTGCAATATTATTTTTAATTTACTGTACTGTCAAAAATAAAAATATTGCCGATATTTACAATTGTATTTTTTCTATACTCCCGTGCCCTGCTCCTGATAGGATAAACTCTCAATAGTATTTTTAGCTATAAAATCCCTTCCCAGAAAAAGTATTTCCACATCACTTCTAATGGTTCAGATACTGCTAGAATTAGTTAAAATACCAATGTAGTACTAAAAGCTTTGTTTTTGAGACAGACTTTATACGTAGCCCACCCTGGCCCAGACCTCAGAGTGTTGCTCCTGGCTTAGCCTCCGGAGTTATATTGGGTGTCATATGAGCTCCCGAATTCCTGAGTAATATGAACCGAATCTGATTCTTCCTCCTGTCTTACTGTGAAGTTGTTTAAAATGAAATCATGCCTAATTGCTGTCATTAGACATTTATAGCCCAGTAAAACATTAGCACACGGAATAAGAATTCCAGTTTTGCAATTACATATCGCTGTACCTGTAGATTACATCTATTTTCTCCTTCAATATAAAAGAATGTGTGCTTGCTGCATAGGGAAGATAGAGAACTGTGAACACAGAAAACAAAGACAGCTTCCAGATTTTAACGTAGAAATATTCATTTATAATTTTTTTTGTTTCCCAGGAACCTGCAATTGTTTTTCCACTTCAAAGCAAAGAATAATGGATTTCTTTTCTCATCTGATTTTTTTTTTGAATTTGCCTTTTCTTTTTCAGATTATGAAGCCAAAATACCGCTCCCTTTCTTACCCTTTCCTGCTCCCCAAGTCTCACACTACTGCGCATGAGCTGAGGTACCAGGTGCCTGGGACAGTCCCCGCCAAAGTGCAGGTGAGCAAAGGCTGCTGGGTAATGTCGTGGTGACGGGTGTAATTGTCTGCCACCTTCACTTCAGATTTTCCAATAAGCATTTTTCTGACGCATGGCTAGGTGGCTCTTTGAAAATCGAGTGTTGTATTTACTCTCAATGATTCAGTTTGTCATCTTTCTAAAGCCCATGTGTTATATGTAATAAATGCATGCCCTCAGGAAGGCTACAGTGCAGGCATAGCTATTCCCATGATTCCTTGAGAGCCGCCCCTTGCCACTCTTACGCTGCATACCTGGGGCTGGTGCTGCTTCAGCACCAGGGATGAGGCTGAAACTTGGAGTCCGGGAAGGGAGTTCTCTTTCAGCCAAATTTTAGTGCTCAATTAACCAAATACCTTAAAAGGTATTTGGCCCTTTTAAAACAACAGGCAGTTGTTTAGTAGAGTTCTAAACATTTACAGCTTCCATTCCAATCGCATGAAATTACAAACAAGAAAACTCAGAACCTGGGACTGGGGCTTCTCCAGAGCCACCCACTACTGATGGGTTCAAGCTCTGGCAGTGGTACTCAGCTGACTCTCTTTATCAATGGGCTTCAAATGCATTGAAGTTATACAAGGACAGAATGAGGATGGGCCACATTGGCATTGCTTTTGTACCATAGAAAGCATTGTTTGAGCAGAAGCCCAGTCCCCTGCCTGGTGTGGATTGACCTAATTCACCCTGGTGGACACGCTTTTACAAATGAAGTGTCTGTTACTCTGCCCTAAGTGTGCCTACCAAAAGTAAAAATATATTAAAAACAGACAAAATAGTACAATAAAAACAAGTCAGGGCTGAGAAGATAGCTCAGGTAGTAAAGCATTTGCCACACAAGCTGGAGGCTCAGGGTGGAGCCCCAGAACCCATGTAAAGAAGCCAGACATGGAGATGTGTGCTCGTAATCTTAACACTGGGGAGGTGGATCCTGGGCCTTGCTGGTCAGCCAACCTAGTGAGCCCCAGGCCAGTGAGAGATCTTGTCCCCCCCAAAATTAGGTGGAGAGCTCACAAGCAATACCCAGGCTTGTCCTGTGGCCACCAGAGAATAACATATCCGCACGTGTCCCCACCCACACAAGGGCCACCTAAACACTCACATGCAAACACACAAAGAGAAAATTGGACACACCACTTGAGAAAAGTACCTGTAGTAGATATGAAGTCATCCCACTATGAAAAGATACAAAAACATTTTATTTGAAAGCACAGAGACATTTGCGTATAAGTTGATGAGTATTTTATGAATCTATTTAATTCTATGTGGATAAGAAGAGCTTACTCATTCTTCAAGATGAGACAAGGATGCTAGTAATAAGGAAAAAAGAGGATTCAAGATTTGAACTTGCATTAAGATTGGTGTGGGGTCATAGAGCTCTTGTTAAGTATTGGTCAAAAATGTATTGTTGATTGGCATGGGGTGGGAGCCCTTGCTGCCAAGCCTGGTGATTTGAGTTTGATATACTGCCCTCACATGGCAGAAGGAGACTCCTGCAGGCTGTCCTCTGACTTTCTCACCCTTGTGTGCCCGCACACACACGAATAACTACATGTATATGATAACTTAAATATATATGTATATTTGTGTGAGATATTTTAGTTTACTGCTTATATCAAGACTCATTGACTGATTCAACCAGCATGTTTAAGTACCATATGTTTATATAAGCATATGTTTAAGCACCATATGTTTACACTGTAAGTCATCATTCGCATCCTGAAAGGAGGGGATAAAAACCACTTTTTGCTGCCTCTGGAAACATAGTTTGCTGGGAAGAGAAAGCGGTGAAATTGAAAAATTCTCTTGGCCACTCACCTGGATGCCGTAAGAGCTGGCTGACAAGGAGGGCCAGAGCTGGTTCTTGTGACAACCTGAGACAACCGAGACAACCGGCTGTAAAACGCTGCCCTTGGAGAGGGCAGTGTAGCCTGCGTAAGGCCTGAAGGTGACTGTCAGTGGCCTTCAACTTGCCCATTTCCCGAGTGATCTTCAACTTGCCCAGCAGCTGGGAAGATTTCCTAAACTTGCTTTTGCCCCTGTGAGACGCTGAGAAGGATTTCACAGGCTTCTGAGGTGGCCTTACAGTGGACTGGCTGTGCCTTTGTTATGCTAATGTGCAGGCAGCACTGAAGGACTTTTATGCCATGTGGCCGTTTTCAAAGTTTATCAGACAGATGATTTCTTATTTTATCTCTTCTCATCTGTCTCTGTATGAATACCTTGAAGCTTGAGGCATACACATATGAAGAGCTTTCCAGTGACGGCCAGGGCAATGAAGGTCGCTGAAAGTCCTGAGGTCACTATGGGGTAAGCTGGGAATGCAAGAAAGGAACAGAATATAGAGGAAAACGTAGACACTGAAAACTAGGGGCTAGTCAAGGAAGGAACAGAATGCAGAGGTTAGCTAACTGTCATTGGTGGCCTCTCCAGAGAGGAATGTGTGTGTCATGCTGGATGGGCCAGCGTGAGTTGAGGTCATCACGGACAAATGCACCCACAGATCCACGGCAAGGCTGTTCTGTGTGACACAAAATGTATCTGACAGTGGCCATGATAAAGAGGTGAAAAAACCTGAGGGGCCACTTTTAGGAACACAGGACAAAGGTCAGCTAATCACAGTCAGTCAATGTATTAGAAAACCAACAAGTCAGGAAAGTGCAGTCAGGTGCAGTAGCCACAGAGCCTGAGGCCTGAGCGGGATCATCCCTGCCATCCTGGACCTCTTCCTCACTTGAGAAAGCCTTATGTGTGTGAATCTGATCTTAGCTCCCTTTGGGCCCCAGAGAGACTCTTTCGTTAAACATATTTAATAAACAAAGGATCGCTTTACTGTATTAATTACCCTTTATTGACTCCAATCTGATGTAGCTCAGAGCCCACATAAAACTCAAATGCCTATATACCCTGGCTTTTAAAGGAGTTAGAATTATGTTTATGCCTAAATAGAAGCTGCTGTTAGAATTTGTGAATAGATGATTAAACCCATTTGGTGGGTCTTGGAGAAAAACAATATGAAAATAAATTGCAACATGGCGGATGCAGTTGGTCTTCTGTGCAGCTGTCAGACAATGGCTACAACATGGTGGGTGCAGCTGGTCTTCTGTGCAGCTGTCAGACAGTGGCTGCAGCATGGCAGGTGCAGCTGGTCTTCTGGTGCAGTTGTCCCATAGTGGCTGCAACGTGGCGGATGCAGTTGGTCTTCTGTGTAGCTGTCAGACTGTGACTGCAACATGGCAGATGCAGCTGGTCTTCTGGTGCAGCTGTCCCATAGTGGCTGCAGCATGGTAGGTGCAGTTGATCTTCTGGTGCAGCTGTCAGTGGCTACTGAAATTGCAAGGACACTGAAGTAGAAAATACATTATTCTTGAGCTCTGTAGTTCTGAGATAATAGTTTCTTTTGTCCTTCTGATCCTCAAAACCTAATATATATTTTAATTATTTATTTTTATTTCATGTGCATTGGTGTTTTGCCTGTATGTATGTCTTTTTGAAAGTGTCAGATCTTGGCGTTACAGACAGCTGTTAGCTGCCATGTGGGTGCTGGGAATTGACTCTGAGTCCCCTGGAAGAGCAGTCAGTGCTCCCAACTGCTGAGCCATCTCTCCAGCCCCTAAAACTTAATATTTTTATAGTTAACTTTTCATCGTCTCAGTACCTAAACCTAGGGTTACTTCCTGGCTACCTGAAGTTAAGGCCATGAGAGGAGAAAATGAGTTGTTCCCTTTTAGGAGCCCACATTAGTGTCTGGGCCCTACCTTAAGGTAGGACAACTCACTGCTTTGTCCTTTCTCAAACCTTGACCCTTGAGCTAGGGCTCCCGCCCTGCCGGTCGATGCTTAACATGCCTGAAGCCTTGGACTCAGTTATCAGCATCCTATAAAATGCAGAATATAGCACAAACTGTAATCCCAGAGGCAGGAAAATAAGAAACACAAGGTTATGCTTGGCCACATAGCAAGCTCAGGGCTAAGCTTGGATATATAAGAGATATATATATCTGTCTCTAAAGAGAAATACTTAATCTTGCAAATTTTATGCCATTTTTCTTATAGGGTCCTGCCCTGATTTAGAATGCAGAAGACCTAGAGAGAGCTGGGATTCTACTGGTTTTTAGCCAAATATCTGTGGTTCTGAAAACTGGCTGCGGCAGGAAGATAGGAAAGCCTAGGATAGCAGACACCCAGAGTGTCTCACCTTGCATCCTTTCTCCTTCAGTCCTGACGTGTGTTACTTCACCCTCCATCTCTTGTTCACTGCTCTACACAGCCATCTCTCTCTAGATGGTTTCCCAAGAACCATGGCTGTTCAGTTCTTACAGGCTGAAAGCAGGGATCTAGGCCAGTCTTGATTTTTTTTTTTTTGTTTCCTTGTCTGTTTCCGTGAAACACTGGGGATTGAACTCAGGTCCTTGGACATAAGAGGCATGACTTCTACCACTTTTCATTCCCAGATAATCAGAAGGGACAAGGACTGGGAAGCAGAAGCAGGAGGAGCAGAAGTTCAAGGTCATCCTTGTCTACATAGTGAGTTCAAGTACAGCCTGTGGTGTGTGAAACCCTGTCTCAAAACAGAAAACAAAAACAAACAAAATCCCCCAATGGGAAAACATCCTCCATTCTTTCCAGGTTCGCTCTTTGATGGTTTCTCTAGTCCAGTGGTCCTCACCTTTCCTACCACTGTGGCCCCTTCACACAGTTTTTCGTGTCCTGGTGATCCCCACCTTAAAATTATTTTCACTGTTACTATGTAAGTGTAATTTTTGCCACTGTTATGAACAATAATGTCAATATCTGATATGTGGGATATCTGATCCCCCTGAAAGGTTCTTCCACTCCCAAAGGGACCTTGACCACAATTTGAGAACCATTGCTCTTGTGTTTCCAAAGTTTGCAGTGAAGAAGTTGACTTTGGATGGGTCACTAGAGGGGTTCTAAGTAAAATCTTTATATCCTTTATTTATTGAAATGGAGAAAAAGGGGCTGGAGAGATGGTTCAGCAGTTAAGAGCTCTGATTGCTTTTCCAGAGGTTCTGAGTTCAATTACCAGCATGGGAGTGCTTACTTCTACTCCCAGTACTCAAAAGGCTGAGGCAGGAGGATAGCCCACCAGTAAAAGACCACCCTTGGCTGTAGAATGAAACACTGCCTCTCAAAACCAAACGACCTACATGGGTGAGTGGTGGGCATGAGCCCTAATCTCCTACACTTTGGCTTCTGCGCTGAGGTTGTAAGCGCTGGAGGTGAACCCTGTTCCCAGATGTTCCAGGGCGATGGTAACCACAGAGGCCCCAGCAAGGTGACAATGCTTCATCTGTCACATCCTTTAGGACCATCTCCCATTGCCTGCCTTTCTTTTACATCTTTTTGGTTCCCCAAAGAGCCAACCACACACATATCCACACGCTCAGCCCCCTGTGCTTACCCCTTGAGTCTCTATTAAACACTATGATTTCTTTTTCTCCTTCAGCCCTGAGACTGTCTTCTTCCTTTGGCACTGGTAAAAAGTCTATTCTTGCAAAAACTGCCTAGCCAACTGAGCAGCAGGCCTCAGACACCAGGGTTGTTAAAGGAGGGAACACGAGAAGGAGACAGACACCTCAGTCAATGTCTTGGCTTCCTCAGCTGTGGTTGTTTTAGCCCGGAATGGAGGAGTGAGGCTCCATCTTGGGAGTACTTCTTTTTCTCCTCAGACTCTGCCATTTGGGGGGCATTCACAGGAATGGATGCCAGCCTCACCCTGAAGGACAGGCATATGCACACATGTGCACGCACCCACACACACACACATACACACACATGTGCACACATGCGCACATATACATGCACACATGCACATGTGTGCACACACACAGACACACACATACACATGCTTTTGTCCTAAGCAATCTTTGTCCATAATTCATTTGAACACTTAAGGAAGTAACAAGGACTCAAGATTATTAATTAGTTAATAATTACTTATATATGATTATATACATACACTGAACTTACAGGGGCTAGAAGCGTTCTGGTGGAAAAGGAGAAACTTTGGACAAATACTGAGAATGTCATGAAGGGTTTCCTGCAAGAGACAATTCTATTTTTTAAGTATTCATCTTAGGCCCATTGTGTGGGAGGGTAAGGGTTGTGCTTAATAAGAAGGTTATTTTTAGTTTAATAGGACACTGTACAAAGGGAAATTTCTAGTCCTAGGTACGATTTTGCCCCTAAACCATCAAGTCAGATCTATGCCATTTTCATGCTGCAGACTCAGCTTCGCGTCTGAAAAGTATGGGTTAAATTTTATTCCCGGGACATTTGAGGTACATTTTTGCACATGGGGCAATGACTCTGAGACTTGTCTCTATTATTTTGTTTCAAACTACAAACACGAGACAAGCTGGTGAGGCCAAGGAAACACAAGAGGAGAGTGATTCTTAAGTAAAAACCAAACAGAAATGAATGAGCGTATGCTTGATGTTCTCGGGGACTCCAGAACTTTCTCTACCATCGAAGATGTAGTTAGGATGATTCTCCGGCTTCAGGTTCCAAAGGCAAACAGGCAGGCAGGGCCAGAAGGAAGTCAGTTTCTGTTGCTCTATGGTGACAGGCACGTTCTAGCCAATCACGAGAGTCAACGACTGGTAATCCTAAGTGGGTTTTTCTTTTTCCTCTCTTGCTTAAATTGAACTCTGAAGTTGCCCCCAGATAATGACTGCTTTTAGTGAAGTGACTTCCCATCGTAAGTAAAAGCTTGGACTTAGGCCATGAGCCCCCAGGAGCTGGGCAACTTCTTCTATGTGGTTGCTGTGAGCATTTTGAGAGCCTCCACTTTGGCATACGGTCTCTCCCACACAATGGGGTGTGTTTTCTGGGTATACAGATTGACTTTAAACATTTAAATGCCTCTGATCACCTGTCCCTCGTGGAAAATGACACCTGACATCCCTGCTTTTCTTCCTGGCAGGCCTGGCTAATCAGAGCTGCCTATCAGTGTACCTGCCCCAAGAATTTCTTTTCATTATAATTTGGAAGACCGACCAAATTGATAAGACATGCGAGTTGACCCTTATTATGACATCTGGTTGCTGCTAACTTTTATCTTTCACACATGGGTTTTGTCTTTGACTCAGAGCAGGTTTTGAGTGAGAAAGAAAATCAAGTGTAGGTTTCTGAATCTCAGGGGGAGGCGAGGGCTTCCTGTCAGGGCTGCTTGTCAGTTCAGCAGCTGACCTGACAGAGCTATGCATTATTAAGTGCACACACATTTATTTCTATGTTAGGATTTATAATTAAGTTTTTAGGTTACCACACAAAGGGGATCTCCCTATGGTGATACCAACTTGTTTGTCCTGTTATTTTGTCTTAGCAGCAACAGTTCAGGGAGAAAAGGAAGGGCTGGGAGGTAGAGAAAGGGGAGGGAGAAGGAGGGGCATGGGGAGTGTGCACTCAGTTATCAGAAGAGGGATGCAGCCTCCGTGGCATTAGAATGGCTAAGGCGAAGATGCTAAAGTTATAACCCGGAGCTATGGGTCTGGCTGGCTGTCTCCAGTGTTTCAGACTTCAGTGAGGATGTGTGCCCTGAGAACCTTTCCAATGCAGCCCTCATTCTCGGGTCACGCTACTAGCGTAACATCTTCCATTAAATTAAACAGACTAAGAGTTGAAACTTTGGTTTAAACTTTATTTCTATCAGGTGACTAATTACACAGCTCCTTGGAGATCCTGTTATTTCCTGGACCATTTTAACTTGGTTCGTGTTCATGATTACACTTCCACTTCTCATATGTACATGTGCTTACCTGATGAGATTGGAATAAGGTAGCGTGTGTTGGGGAGTGCTGTCTAGTAAATATCCCATATCAGAAAAGGACCAGTTCCAACATTCGCCTAAAATTAGAAACAACAAATATACTTTTACAGTTCTCCTCCCCTTTTCATTCCCCCCACTTTCTTTTTTTTCTCACTTGTACTTTTGTGGGTTGCGGTCTCATGTAGTCCAGGCTTGCCCTAAACTCACTATGTAGCCAAGGATGCTTTGACCTTCTGAGCCTCCCGCCTCCACTCTCCACATGCTGGGATCACAGGTATGTGCTGATGACATCTGGTTTGTGGTTACTATGGCAAAAAGGGCTTTGTGTATGCCAGGCAAACACTCTAATGACTGCTACCTGCTCAGGCCTCCAATGAGTCTTCTGCGACAATATGCAGTTACTTAAGAAAGTCAAGATGTGTATACTAAGTGCTTACTATATATAAAAGTCATACTGCAACAGTTAAAATACTGGGGGGACTACCAGGTGAAGGTCATCGCGTGTTGGGAAGGCCATGGGATGCCGCCAGTGTTCCCCACCCCCACTCTGCCATGCATAGCCGCGGTCACATCTCTGATGTGGTCTGCTGTAGCTCAAATGCACCTGCTAATGCATTGTCTTTAGTTACCAGTGTATACTGCTTTCTAGGTCTGAGGCTTGCTGGTACACACATCAGTCATTATTCTCTGCCTTACGTCAGGGTCCTTGGCCTGTATGTCGGTGTAGCTGAAGGACTGTCATAGGGAAAGAGGACCAAGTTATGGTAATTGTAGTGACTTGAATAAATCTTCCAAATATTCCTTGTAGGAACCACAGCTTAAGTCTTCAAGTTCTGAATTAAAATAATGCTGGATTTGGAAGGATGCTGATATAGTTTGCTTCTCTATTGCTATGATAAATGTCATGGCCAAAGGAAATTGGAGAGAAAAGACTTTATTACATATTACAGATTTTGGCCCATCATTCAGGGAAGCCAAAGCAAGAGCTGAGCAGGAACCATGGAGAAGCACAGCTTACTGGCTTGCTCCCTGGCTCCCAGGCCCACCTGCCTAGGGGTGGCATTGCTCACAGCAGGCCTGGTCCTCCTGCATCAATTAGAGATCAAGAAGATGCCCACAGATTTGACCACGGTTCAGGATGATGGAGGCAGTTCTTCAGTTGAGGTTCATTCTTCCCAGGTGTGACACGCTGACAATGAAGATGAGCTATGACAAGGGTGTAGTCTGCGTGTGCTCCAGCTCTCCCTTGGGCCATGTGGGGCTCAGCCACTGTGATCATTGCATCGGTACAGATGGTACCTTCTCTATTGTCTTATGTTTGCTCGTTGTCTTGCAGTTGCTCCGATCGGCGGCTGATTGGTCTGCTGGGATAAAGCACCATGAGGAGTCCATCCACACTGCCTACACCTACGTAATCGAGAACAGCAAACACTACATCTACATTGAAGTAAGTAGTCAGTGAGTCAGTTCCATAGCCTGCCTTCCCGGGTGTCTTAGTTCCTGTTGTCATGATAAACACCATGACCCTGAGCAGTCTGGGGGAGGGACAGAGTTTATTTGGCTTACATTTCCACAGTACATCATTGAGGGAAGCCGGGGCAGGAACTTAAGAGGGGCACAGGAACTCGGAGGCGGGAACTGAAGCAGAGCCCATGAGCAGCATGGCTTACTGGTTACTTCCCAAGGCTGGTTCATCCTGCTTTCTTGTCCCATTTTATTTAATCCACAGGGTTGGCAATGTTGCATTGCCCTGTGAAAGGCAGGAGGCTCCCATGTCAATCATCAATCAAGAAAATGTTCCCCGGAATTACTTGCCTATGGGCAATCTAATGGAGGCATTTTTTAAGCTGAGGTTCCTCTTCCTAGATAACTTTAGTTTGTGTTGAGCTCACACACACACACACACAAAACAACAACAACAACAACAAACACAGCTGACCAGGGCACCAAGTATCGTACAAGATTGTAAGGACCCCAGTTCAGGATTCCTTATTTATAACCATGAACTGAGTTATGAAGAATTCCACAGAGGTATTGACTAAAGTCATTTGTATCTCTGCCTCCCAGCATGCCTGAATTCACTCTGCACCATCATTAACTCAAGGCCAATGGAGTCTTGCAAACCCTTGAGGTACTGACATCTGTCAGCCGATGAATACATGTCTCACTGAAACAACCCCAGGATGGATGTGGGAGTTGTCTCTGGGGTATGGTTAGAAGGTCTAGCATGAAGCATGTGCTGTTTCAGCAGAGCACACACATGCACACAGAGTAAGTTGTTCACAGAGGACTGACAGAACACCCCTGCTGTGGGGAATCCTGGGGCAGGAAAAGACAGGGAAGGGAATAGGGGAATGGGTGTTGTGAGGACTCTGTGTTCAGAGTCCATGAGAAAGTCTGAGAGCATCAAGTTTAGTGTGGGAACTTTAATTGAACTTCAAAATAGATACAGAAATAGTACAGACTCTTTGGAACCCCTGAGAAAAATAAAGAATCCCATTAAAGGGGGGGACCCAAACCAACACACATCTCCCTCCTTTATCCTGGTTTTATTTTTCCATTGAATAAAAATAGAACGTTTAGCACAAATGGGTTGTCGGGGAAACCATCTGAGCCCTGTTTTCCTTCTCCTGGAGTCCTGCTACTCCTCCCTTCCTTAGAGCGACAGTCGATTAAAACATCAGCAAGCAATTGTAGCTTGACTCATTCCTCAGACTTGGAGAAAGAGAAAGCTAATTAAAAACATTAGCAGCCTAAATGTGTGTGTATTCCACACGGGATCATGCTGCAGATAAAGGGAAATCAGGGAAGCCCACTGGGGAGTTTAATAAGACATTTGTTGTCATTACCTGTGAGTATACTGTTGTCACTGCCCCATCTGGCATCGGTCATACTGTTTCATTTTTAAAGTAGCATTAACACCGGCATCTCCGCTGCTTTTCTTGTTGCTGTGGTAAGGTAGCCAACAAAAGCAACTGAGGCAGCAAGGGTTTGTTTGGGCTCCCAGTTCTGAAGAATAAAGGTGGTCACAACAGGGAAGTCACGGCAGCAGGAGCAGGTGGTGGCACAGTCAGGAATGGGTGATAGTTCCTTCCCTATGTAATGAGCCTGTCGTCCCAGTTTGTGGAATAGTGTTCTCCACATTTAGGGTGGGTCTTCCCACCTCAGTTAACCTAATCTGTATAAGCCCATGGGCTGGTTTCCATGGTGACTCTAAATTCCATCAAGTTGACCATCATGACTATTAGATGACATTGCACGAGACCAGCAGTGCGTGTGGGCATTCATGGCTGTGGACGTTTCTCTGGTGATACTCATCAGGGTGAGCCGGAAGCATTAATCTTAATCCTCAAAAGAGAGGTGGGGGAGTGGGAGGGAGGGAGGGAGGGAGGGAGGGAGGGAGGGAGAAAGCAAACCATGGCATGTGGCAGTCTGTCCTGGTAGCTGATGAGACATGCTACCCTTCTTTGTGGCAAGAGTTGTTTGAACCATATTCTCAGAAGAGGTTCTGCACAATGCCTTCCTGCAAGTTGTCTCCTGGAGGCACCATGCCTATTTGTGCCCTGCTGAGTAAAATCTTGTGAACTCCTAAAAATGGTATTGCTATCCTTCTTCAAGGTATTCCTTGGGATGATTTGTTTAAAAAAAATACAGTTGTATTGTAATTTCAATAAGCAGAACTCATAATACTTATGGGTTAGTTTTAACATTCCTTTATGTAGCAATAAAAATCCTTTGTAGCATTAGGATAATAATGGAGTTATTTTCTGACAATAGTGTCGAAGAATGTTTTATAAATCTATGAATAACAGAAGTACTTGAAATAAACCTCTTTTCATTCTATTTTATTCATATATATGTACACACAAAATAAATTTGATATAATGTATATGGTATATCATATACATGATATATGTGCACAAAAGATACATATATGGGTATACATATACATACATACATACACACATACAGACACACACATGTGCACACACACATGATCACACAACATGGGCACTCTGACCAGCACAAATACTTGTAGACACACACATGACTATGCAACATGGGTGTAAAATGAGGGTCCTGCTCGTTGGGGGTTTCTGTCTTGCCCGGTTCCTCACAGCCGGCAAGCCCCAAAGAAAATCACACAGAGAACTCTATAGGTTATAAAGCTGATTGGCCCATTAGCTCAGGCTTCTTATTAGCTCCTATGACTTATATTAACCCATTATTCTGATCTATTTTAGCCATATGGCTTGGTACCTTTTTCAGCTGGCAGATCACATCCTGCTTCCTCAGTGATCTGCGCAGGACTGGGAGGAATCAACTTCCTCCTTCCCAGACATGGGTACTCTGACCAGCACAAACACATGTGCCCACACACACATGGACACGCTGACTAGTACAAACACATGTGCCCACACATGACCACACACACATGGGTACTCCCACCAGCACAAACACATGTGCCCATACACATGACCATGTACACATATTCTTGTGTGAGCCATTTTCCCTATCACTGATATGGTATTGGTTCCTTCATTCTACACAATTCCCAGAGAAAACATGGCCTTACCCAAGTGTCCTATTTTTCTCGCAGAACCAATTTTTCATAAGCTGCGCCGATGATAAAGTCGTGTTCAACAAGGTGGGCGATGCTATTGCCCAGAGAATCCTGAAAGCCCACAGGTAAGGTTCACTTTGAACAGAAGTTCCAACCAAACTGCTGTAGCTGCTCTTGCTTCTCTGAGGAGGTGGCCACAAAAGCTGGTGTTGAAAATGGACTCCTCTTAGCTGGCTTGTGACTCAGTTGCTGAGAAATATTCAGTTTATCTTGGTGGGAATCATCAGCTTCCCGGCCTGCCTTTTTCCCACATGTGGGGCTTATGATCCGAGTTAGTTCATGGCAGATAGTGAACTATGCTCACACAAACAAAGCAGAGCAGACAGAAAACGTTGCCACAGAGCTATATTTAAATTCTCATTTCCAAATGTCATATTTCTTTAGCTCATGGATTTATTTCCCAACAGCCTTATTCTAATCATATCCATATACTGTGCAGTCCCGCAGTGAAGTGAGCAGTTCAACAGCTCGGTGCAGTCACAGAGTAGCTGGCCTAGCCCGTTTCATTGTCTGTTTACTTTAATAACACCACTATTGTGCATGTATGAACATGGTACACCCACACAGCACATGCCACGGTCCAGTGTGGAGTGCAGAGTCAAGCTCTCTTCTCCTACCACGTGGGCCCAGGAGTCCAACTCAGGTGGTCAGGATTGTCAGCAAGCACCTTGCTTTTGCCAGCCTTTTAGGAATATTTTCTTCTAGGAATTTTTTTATTTAAAAAATGTTATTTTTTTAGTTTGTGTGTGTGTGTATGTGTGTGTGTGTGTGTGTGTGTGTGTAGGTGCACACATGCCCACCGAGCTATCTTGCTGTCCCAATAATTCTTTCTGTTTTATCTGTTACTATTTGTGTCTTTGACTCTCTCTGAGGTATTTTGTATCTTGTGTGAGTTAGTGGTCCACTTCACTGTGTTTGTGGATGTAGATTCACAGCCGGCACTGTTGATTGGACAGACTATGGCCACATGTTCAAAGGAGTGGGGGGAGAGGCCTTGTTCCTTCCCATCCAGCTAGTTTATACCCGAAATAGCCACACAGAAATTGTATTAATTAAATTACTGGCTGGCCCATTATCTCTAGCTTCTTATTGGCTAACTCTCACATCATGATCTAACCCCTTTCTATTAATCTGTGTTCACCACGAGGTCGTGGCTTACTGGCAAGATTCTAACCCTTTTTTCCATCTTTTTTTCATATACTATGTAGTGATTTTAGAATGAAGGACATCTTAATTGTAACTATCAATATTTTATCTGTTTCATGTTTTTTATTTACATGATCTTATTGAATCTTCACACTTGGGAAAGTAGGTCTTGTAGTTGTGGATGTTCAATAAATCATGTGACTTCTGATATTATTATTTTTCTTGTCAAAAAAAAAAAAAACCAACCAAAGCAGATTAAGGCAGGAAGTCTTTGCTTTATCTCATGGTGTGAAGATACAGTCCACCACCGTGGGGAGGCATGGCGGGATGCGAAGTTGGGGAACATGGCGGGATGCGAAGTGGGGGGGGCATGGCGGAATGCAAAGGGGGGGGGCGGGGGGGGGGGGAAGGGGGGGGG